GGTGGGTTTGAATGGGCTTGGGGCGGGATATAGAGGTGGGTTTGAATAGGCTTGGGGCGGGGATGGAGGCGGGGCTGGTGTTGGGGGTCGCTGGAGGCGGGTATGACGGGGCGTGGGGGACGGTCTGGACGGTGCAGGAAGGGGCGGGGCAGGTCGCGAGCGCCGAGTCCCCAAGTGAAACTGACCAGAGCTGGTTCGCGCTGGTGGTCGTTGGTGAATTTCTCAGCTTGTCAGTGGATGGCTTTTTGTTTAATTATTTGGCTACATTATGAATGAAATCAGTGAACCCGCCCCGAATTGAAATAGTTTACTGAGGTATAATCGATTTTTTTGTAGACTGAATGGCAATTTACGTGTTTTTAAATGTCTAAAATATTCAATTTCTGTTCGATCCGTTCCAAGTTTTCCCCAATATCCGATTCATGGGGCATGTCAAGCGGGGTCACCTTTCCTACCTTTCATGTGTTTGCCTTTACTTCCTCCATGAGTGGCAGACAGCAGGTAATTTCCCTCCGATTTGTGAGGCTCTTGTCCCAAACACCGAGGCCGGCCCGACCCCGACCTCCATCCCCGTCCCCACTGCCACTGCCACCGGCTGCTTGTTCAGTTGGGGGCCGGAGATGATAGCGACCCTAAACGTTAACTCTGATTTCTCTCCACAGATGCTGCCAGACCTGCTGCGCTTTTTTCCAGCAATTGCTGTTATTGTTTCTTAACTTTACAGCATCTGCAGTTCTTTCAGTTATTACTGAGTCGGGGGAGGGCTGGGTAAACTTTCTCTGATGGAGATGGTGAAGGCCCCTTCATTTTCTGGGGGTGGATTCGAGTTCTGCGAGCCAGACGAAAATTTCAAATGCCCAAAATTTAACATGTAAACCGATTTGCTCAGCCTAATTTCTCATTTTCCCCCACCCAGTCATACCATAAACAAACAAAAAAAAATCCTGCCGTCCACAGCCACATTCACTTTGGAGATAATTGATTAGCGACCCGTTACAACATTTTCATGTTTTTTCGAGGAATGGTTTATTAGCACGATCGGAGAGGAAACTGGACTATTATCACTGTATGGGTTTGATTTTCTACCTTAAGGACTATCCCTGAGCGCGGCTCCTTATATCCCTTTCAGTATAAACCCGACGAAGCTGATAAGTGCAGAATAGGCTAAAATACTTTTGCTATACCACCCACCCACTCAAGTGTTATTAGTACGTGGCCTGGAATAGAAAACCAGAATCTCACACTTTTCAAACAAAAATCAAATAAACCATTTTATTGTTTGAGGATTTTAACGTTTTTGACATTATAAACTAAATATATTTTACATTCTCTTCAGGATAATTTGGCAGTATGAAATCCATAAAGCGAATTTAGCTTCCACTGTAAAATGTAAGAATAACACTGGAGGCATCGAGATCAAATCGACTGTGGGCAGGCGTCAGAAATGTCTACCACTGGAGCAGAAGGCACCGAACGTAGCCCTGAGGAAATACAGTTGCCAGACTTGGTATTACTCAGTAACAGTCAAAACTCCCAGGCCTTTGATGCACTGTCTAGCCAGGACACTCAATTTACTTCGGACACTGTAGATCTGACAGATGTGGAAGCAATGGAGATCAATTGTGGACAGCATGATTATAGAAATGAGGTACAAATGGTGCTTCAGCCTGTTACCAAGCGAGAGAATGTAGACAGTTGTAAATCAGGGCAACGTTTGGATGATGCTTGCACTGAGTCACAGGAGTCAGAAGAAGGTGGTCTAGAAGATGAAATAATGGATGGAGAACAGGAATTGTGTCATTTTTCACAATCTTCTTCCCCTCAACCCCATTCACAGCTTCATTCTCATTATGTTCACCTCCTGTCTTCATTCACAGGGGACCATGGAAATGCTTCCATCATGCCATTAGCTCCAGTGGGTAACTGGATTCACGAACATGGTCTTCCTCATCCAATGAGAATGATACCGGTAGGAAATTATCATCACAATATATGAAAACTAGCACTCTAGTTCAAGAGGCAGGAAGGGGACAAAAAACTTTAGATTTGAAATCCAGCTTTGGTAATGGGGGACAATGAGGGGAGAGTTGGAGCAGTTTTTGAGTTGGAATGGAAATTGGGCAGGAACTTCTTTCACCTGATCTCTGCTCCTAAGTTTACAAGTTGCTAAATACTACCTTTGATGCTGCTCATCTCTGTGCAAACATCAGAACATTGGTCAGACTCAGTGAGATGGCATCACCTAAAGGAAACCCAGCCAGGTCTACCTCATTCAGTACATCAGTACATAAGTACTAGCATCAAGATCCTGCCAAAACTGACAATTGTTTAAAGTGATAGCTTCCCTACAGAGCAATTGATTTCCACTGAGAAAGCAGCAATTTAAACTGCTTAAATGCTAGGAATTTTTTGCTTATCTTTGTCAAGCATAATAAGTAACATCATTAATGCTGAGATACAATACAATAACTGCTCCCCTGCTGAAATAGATGCCTCAGTAATTTCACAGGTGGGTGCCATCCTTGGATGAAAATACTGTAACTTCAGGATTTATGATGGGCTATGAGTTGCAGTAGACTGATAACTAGAATTACTGCTGCATTTTCAGTGGTGAGGCAGGCTCCCAGGCATTTCATGTCCATATCTGTATGCTGCATGATGACATGGAAGTATAGAATATGTGATATTTATATGAGAGAATCAGAATCATAGAATCCCTACAGTGTGAAAACAGGCCCTTCATCCCACAAATCCACACCGACCCTCACAGCATCCCACCCAGACCCATCCCCTATAACCCTAATCTACACACCCCTGAACATTACGGGTAATTTAGCATGGCCAATCCACTTAGCCTGCAGATCTTTGGACTGTGGGAGGAAACCGGAGCACCCAGAGGAAACCCACGCAGACACGGGGAGAGTGTGCAAATTCCACACAGACAGTCGCCGGAGGGTGGAATCAAACCCGGGTTGGTGGTGCTGTGAGGCAGCAGTGCTAACCACTGAGCCACCATGCCACCAAATGAACTCAACAATGTCAAAAAGAGGAGTGTAGAAGCAGGAGTGGCACATTCAGCATAAGACCGTAAGATAAAGGAGCTTAAGAATTAGGTGATTTGGCCCATCGAGTCTGCTCTGCCTTTCGATCAGCCTTTGAGTGTCCTTCTGCACCCCTCCCCCACATCCTCAACACTATCTGCCCCTCCACATATCTTTATGTCATTTGCTATTTAACAGCACCTGCTCAGGAATAACTTGCTCAGTTTGGGTTCCACCAGGGTCATCCAGCTCCAGACCTCATTACAGCCTTGGTTCAAACATGGACAAAAGAGCTGAATTCCAGAGATGAGGTGAGAATGACAGCCCTTGACATCAAGGCCGCATTTGACTGAGTGTGGCATCAAGAAGCCCCATCAAAAATGGAATCAATCGGTATGAGGGGGAAAACTGGTTCGAGTCATACCTGACACATTGGAAGATGGTTGTGCTGTTGGATGTCAGTTATCTCAGCTCCAGGACATCTCTGCAGGAGTTTCTCAGGTTAGGGTTCATGGCCCAAGCATCTTCAGCTGCTTCATCAGTGAGCGACCCTCCATCATGAGGTCAGAAGTGGGGATGTTCATTGATGATTACACAATGCTCAGCACCATTCATGACTCCTCAGATACTGAAAAAGTCCATGTTTAAATGCACCAGGAAATGGACAGTATCCAGGCTTGGGCTGACAAGTAGTAAGTAACATTTGTGCCCCACAAATGCCATGGAATATCTCTTATTGGAGATAGTCAATCTAATCGTCATGCCTTGACATTCAATGGTGTTACTATCACTGAATCTCTCACTATCAACTTCCTTGGGGTTACCGTTGACCAGAATCTCAATTGGACTGGCCACGTAAACATGTTCCCTAGTCGGCTCCACCACAAGACATTCCAAAAAATCATCTCGTAGACATTTCACAAAATTCGTCTTCTTGAGATCGCTACCAACCTGATTTTTCCAGTCCACCTGCATATTGAAGCCATCCATGATTATTGTAATAGTGCCTTTCTTACATGCCTTTTTTCTCTCTTGATTTATTTCTGCTTCACATCCACAGCTAGGGGACCTGTACATAACTCCCATCAAGGTAGTTTTTTCCTTTGCAGTTATTCAACTCTACCCATATACCCATATCACTTCTTTTCATTTCTTACTAAGAAGGCAACCCTGCTCATCTGACTCTCTTTTTAATAAGAGGTGTATCTTTAGACAATTTTCTAACATCTTAATAGATCATGGCTGATTTGCATGTCAACATCATTTACTTATTCTTGCTCTATTTTGCTTAATATCTAACAAAATTCTTTCGGTTTGCATTTCCTCGATCAACCTAGTCTCAAAAGCTTTATGAGGCATTGTTCCAGATTTCCTATTCTTTGTGTATAGAAGTTCTTCCTGCCATTTCCCCTGAATAGCCCAGATCTAATTTTAAGGCTGATCGCAGATTGTTTTGGACTCCCCCACCCAAATAAATGCTTTGTCTCAATATACCCTTTTGTATCCTTTAATTATCTTACACAATTCAACTTTTTTTACTCAGCTATACAGATCTAAAGGTGTTAGGGGCCATTTTGGCTTGTAAGCTGGAGGAAGGAATTAAAGAATTTGGGGTCAAATGGCTGCAAAAGCAAGGAAGGGCTATAAAACTATTCAAACACAAAATAAAAATCTGAATTATAAATTTGAATCTCCAGGGCACGGTTGACCATTTTAGCATCAACAAGTGTGATGGCTGAGTAAGTGGGTGCTTGTACAGGATAGGATCAGGGCAACAAAGCTTTGGATGAGATGAAGTTTACGGAGATTTCTGAAATAGGAGACTGGCCAGTGAAGTGTTGAAATATTGAATCTGGAAGTAACAAAGGTATGGATGAGATAAAACCTGGGAAGCGGCGATAGTGAAGGTGGAATCAGGCTGTCTTAGATCAAAATTATATGGGTTAAAAATCTCAAATTGGGAATGAAGGGCACACCAAAATTGCTAATCATCTGGTTTTCCCTGACTGTGCTTGGGGAGTGGCATACAAGTGTAGCAAGGGTGTAGAAATTGTGGCCAGGCCCAAAGATGCCTACATTACAAATGTGACTGTATTTCCAACATACTTTATTAGCTGTAATGCACAAAGGACTTTGAAGCCATGAAAGGCACAATACAAAAGCAACTATTTCTTTATTGTTCTGTTTCACTGGAGGACATTATAGGTCATCCAAGATGGCCACTGGACAAGTAGTCTGACAACTTGAGAGGAAGTGGTCCACTCAAGGGAACTTGATGTTAATGGCATATATATGAAAGTTGATGTTTGCAACCCTGTGTGCAAGCATTCTCTTTAAGGAGCAGAATATGGCTAAGGAAGATTGAGTGGTCAAGAGCAAATGTTTGAGGGACTCTGGAGATCAGTGCAGAGATAGGAAAAGAACCATTGCCGAAGATACTTAAGTATGTAAGAGTGGTGATCCCACTGAAAGACATTTGGAAAATTCTATCAAGGCTGTAGAGATTTTTAGAACCAACTGTACACTGTGCTTGTAGTCATGCAGGATGTAATTTGTGATTTTGGAGCAATTTCTGCGCTGGGACAGAATCAACATGGACGCAAATCTCGTAGGTAACAACACTCATCAGAACCAAAGAAAGAAAATTGGCGATTGGATGAGAGTTTAAGAACAGTATGGTCAAGCATAATGTTTTCTCAACTAGCATGACGGCTAAGAAATGGGTTTGGGTGATCAGTAGATTTTTGGGAACAGAGGGACAAGGGATCAGGTTATGTCATAGCCAACATGAGCTGAAAGAGGCCATGAGAGAGATTTGAGAGAAACTGGAGAAGGTTGCAGTTTCAGAACCGAGAGGGAGGATTTCAGAGCGATTTGACCTAATGGACAAAGTAGTCATCAAAGGCTGGTGACTCCAGGGTATACACCTTGGTGATAAATTTCATTAACTGCTCTGGCTTGTTGGCAATGAGGGTGAAGGGTTCAGATAGAGATTTTAAAGAAAACAAACCAGAGGTCATCATTCCTCTCCATTAGATTCTTGTCTAACTCCTTGACCTGAGTGGAAGTAAGTGCATTTATGTAACCTATTTCAAAATGTATTTAATATTGTAATAGTTTAAATTTGTAACATGAAGTAAACTCGAAGATTTGCAGTATTATATTTTTATTGGTATTGCTTGCTGCCTCACTTCGCAACAGGCATACAACGAGGATACATTAAGAGTGCTAAATATCTGCAACAGCATAATTCGTTGCTTCTGTAGGATCCTGCATTCCTTGCTTTTACTTGTGTTTTTAAACCTACTTTTGAATCCATATATTGCATTAAATTAAAATCTTAGCTAGCACTGTGGCAACATTCTGCAATATTCAACATGTTATATTCGACATGGTGCTCAGTTATGAGTGGTGTACCACAAGGATCTGTTCTGGGTCCTCTTCTTTTTGTGATTTTTGTAAATGATTTGGATGAAGGAGTGGAAGTGTGGATTAGTAAGTTCGCGGACGATACGAAGGTGGGTCAAGTTGTGGATAGTGCTGAGGGCTGTTCTAGGTTACAAAGGGACATTAATAGGATGCAGAGCTGGGTTGAGAAGTGGCAGATAGAGTTTAACCCTGAAAAGTGTGAGGTGATTCACTTTGGAAGGACAAATTTGAAAGCAGAATACAGGGTTAAGGGAAAGATTCTTGGCAGTGTGGAGGAGCAGAGGGACGTTGGAGTTCATGTCCACAGTTCCCTGAAAGTTGCCACCCAGGTGGATAGAGTTGTTAAGAAGGCGTATGGTGTGTTAGCTTTCATTAATAGAGGGATTGAGTTCAAGAGATGTGAAGTTATGCTCCAGCTGTACAAAGGCCTGGTTCGGCCACATCTAGAGTATTGTGTCCAGTTCTGGTCGTCTCATTACAGGAAAGATGTGGAAGCATT